AATAAGCTTTAAATTTAACCAAATACGAGCGCTATTAAATGAATAATTCTGTTTGCGAGTAACAAATCAAAATTTTAATTTAAACGAACACTATTTAAGTCTATTCTATAAATTAGAGTGCGTTATCTAAACAATTAATTTAATAATTCGACCAGAAAATGGTTGGATAACCACTAAACACCAATCCAGATCCTGCCGAAGTGACCATAAAATGGTGGAGCCACGTGTTTAAGGCTGCCGAAAGTCTAGTTCCCCGGTCAAACCTCAAACCTATTACGCGAGATATTAACTAAAGTGGACTGTATATGCGATTGCTTCTACGCTTACGTAAAAGCGACTACTATAGCATGCGGTACAATGCACTCGCTCTTCCCTAAACTAAACTATTACTTGTCGAATCGATGAAAGGAATCCTGCTTGATTAGGAAAAAAAACACAGATTGGAGCGGGTTAAACTATTAGCAAGCAGGTATAATTAAGGAATATTGACTCACCGGGGTTTCTTCTTCCTGTCGATCACTATAGCGGCGACTTCCGGAACCTCCTCTGGACAGACACTTCTGGGGCCCCAGTGGTGCGTCAGGAGAGAAGCGTTAGTTCAACGACGACTGCGGCGGGAGAAGAGGCTCGAGCATCGGTCGAGCGTGTCTTATATATCCTCGGCTCGGGTGATTACGCGATGTTCTAGAATCGTCTTCTTTCCCCTCCCACCCCACCACCCCGATGTGTCGATAGGAGGGTACGAATGATATTGTTTGGAAAGGAATAATGATTCTACAAGTTCCTACCGTCAAATAAAAAACGCGAATGGTTTTCCGCGCAACCATGCGTTATATGACAATTTAAAATAAAAGCTAGAAAAAATATAAGCGATGATAAGGTAGGTCGTATCCTACTTATTTATTTATTTATTTTTATTTTTTCTTTTTTGTACACCACAATACAGAAACATCAATATAGTTAAAACTAATTAAAGTATGTACAATAGGCGGTCTTATCACTGAAAGTGATTTCTTCCAGACAACCTTTGCGTAGAGGAATAATGCAAACAAAAGTTACAAATAGAGGGGGGGGCATACATAATAATAATAAAAAAAAATACAATAATACATACAAATAAAAGTAAGTGAAAGTTATATATAAAATATCATATAATAGATTAAATGAAAAGAGTAAGAGAAAGGTAAAGTAATTTATCTAATAGCGTTCTAAATAATACGATTTAACAAGAATTTTGAAAGAGTGAAGAGATTTAGCACGACGAATACGGAGAGGTAAGGAGTCCCACAATCGCACAGCGGTTACGGTGAAGGATTTCTTGAAAAAGGAAGAAGAGTGCAATGGTGTAGAGAGAGAAAGATTGATGGAGGATCGAAGGAACCGATTATGGATAAGAGAAAGATACTGGAAACGGTTTTTTAAATAAAGAGGAGTAGAAGGATTAAACAGCACACTATACAACGCGGAGAGAATGTGGGTATTCCTGCGAAGGCGGATCGGGAGCCATTTGAGCTGTTTGCAAAATTCGGAGATATGATCATATTTGCGAAGCCCAAATATAAATCTAATTGCATACATTTTGAATGCGCTCAAGCTTATTCAGCTGCTCCTCGGCAATGTCAAGATAGCAAATATCAGCATAGTCAAGGATAGGCAGAAGAAGAGACTGGGCGAGCGTAACTTTAGTTGCTGTGGGAAGGAAATTACGTAATCTACGTAAAGAGCTTAACGCAGCAAACATTTTTCTACTGACCTCATTAACATGTGTGGTCCAAGACATACAGGAGTCAAGATACAACCCCAAGTTTTTAACCTTGTTACTGTAAGGGATTAGAGTGCAGTCTAGTATAATAGGGGGTAGGGAAGACCAGTCAATTTTACCAATTAATCTAGAACTACCGATGACAATGACCTGAGTTTTCTTAGGATTAATCGTTAAACCATAACGTTTACTCCAATTAGAAATACAAGTCAGATCAGCGTTAATAGTGTCAACTGCTTTAGATAGATCTTCAAGAGAGGACTGAGTATAGATTTGGAGATCATCAGCATACAAGTGGTAGGAAGAGGACAAATTATGACTTATAGAGTTAATGAAAATTGCAAAAAGGAGAGGAGACAACACGCCACCTTGTGGTACACCAGCAGCTGTAGTAATCCAGGTGGAAAAAACCTCTTGCACCTGAATTCGCTGTCGGCGACCAAACAAGTAACTTCGAAACCAGTCAACTACAGTTGGAGATATGTTGAGAGAGCGTAGGATGCTTAACAAGATAAAAAATAAAAATATAAATTTCTGACTGTTTTCTGAGGTGGCTGACCGCTAAGACACTTAGCGGTCAGCCACCGTAGAGTCTATATTACCTGAGGATGCCTCGTGTAGAGGCGAAACACGTGTCGTATTATCGTCGATGGTGTGTCTTGCCTGGAATAGTGGTGTTGAGAGTAGTGGTGCTTGGTCTAGTGGTGACGGAGTTAGTGTATGCAATTGAGGGAGGGCGGGAGGTGCGCTTCAATCCAGGTAAGACACATCATTTTATATGTTTAGCGGAAAGTTGCAAAGAAATTTATATTTTTATTTTTTATTATAATGGATTTCCGCAAAGTAACGCCTGATTCTATCAATTAGCTTAACAAGATATCAAAATCTACAGTATTAAATGCGTTACTAAAATCAAGCAACGTGAGAATAGTAAGCTTTTGTTTCTCCATACCATACCGAATATCATCAGTGATTTGTAAAAGTGCAGTAGTCGTACTATGACCAGGACGGAAACCGGATTGCAAGGGATTTAAAAGATTGTGTTTTAAAAGATAGGTGCTTAATTGATTGTGCACAAGACGTTCTAGAACTTTGGAAAAGAAAGGCAAAATAGAGATAGGTCTATAATCGGAAAAACTAGAGGGATTTGACTTTTTCGGAAGAGGAACTACAAATGCGTCTTTCCAAGCTGAAGGGAAAAAAGCAGAATTCAGTGATTTATTCAGGATAGACGTGATTATAGGTAAAAGGAGATCAATGAGAGGGATGACCATTTTTCGACTAATGCAGTCACTACCAATCGAATTTGAATGGATGGACATTATGGCTCTCTTAACATCACAACTGTTAAATTGGCTAAAATTAAAAGCAGTGGTGTCCGGAGTGGGAGCTTTTGAAAGAGAATCTAAAGTATTATGTTTTGCTTTATCGTTAATGCAAGACGAAGATGAGAAATGCAAATTAAGTTGATTGAGATCAAGGTTATGGTGTGTGAGATTTTGTCATAATTTCCCAACTCCTAAGGACTTAAGAAATTTCCAGACCTTAGCAGGATCAGGATCTTGTACTGATTCATGGATATGGCGTCGTTGTGCTTTTCTACACAGATTGTTGCAACGATTCCGTACTAATCTATACTTCTCTCTATTCAAATCGCTAGGGACTGACTTGTATTTAGCTTTGGCACAATTTTTAATGTGGATGATTTTTTTTATATCATCGGTCAGCCAAGGAGAGGGAGGATGCTTTACACGCACTGGACGAACAGGAGCATGAACGTCGTAAAGCTGAATTAACAGAGAGTTGAACAAAGCAACCTGTTCATCAACAGTAGACGCATTGACGACTACACTCCAATCAATCTTTACAGCGTTATTTAAAAGCTGCTCCAAATCCAAGTCACTAAAGTTACGCTGAAGTAGTATCCTTGACTTATCTTTAGGGGGGACGGATTTTGTATGACAAGTATAAAAGGTCGTGATAGGAAAAAGAATCAGCAGCATGTTGCCCAAATTTAAGAACATGGTCAGGTAAAGACACAAACATTATGTCGAGAAGAGAAGGGGCACAGTTCGGGAAAAAGTGTGTGGCAGAAGTAGGAAGAAGTTTTAAATTTGCTGCTTCAATAATAGATTTAAGTTTTATTGATCTAGCGTTGTTTTTTAAAAGACAGGTATTAAAATCACCCATAATAATACTGTGACAATAGATAGGTGTAAGATTGTCAAGAATATTTTCTAACGTGGTGAAGTAGTCGACAGTGAGAGAGGGACTGTAAAAAACTCCAAAAAGTATGTTTGTATGACCAAGAAGAACTTCGATAAAGAGAAATTCAGCTTCGTTTCCAGTCTGCGAACCATTTGAAACTTGAATTACTGAAAAAGGTATATGTGAGCGCAGATAAATAGCAACACCACCACCGCCCCGATCGGTACGGTCGTTACGAATCAAATGAAAACCTGGAAGCGAGTAGGAAGTTGATGGAAGACATGGTTTTAACCACGACTCCGAAACAAGGATAGCGTGTATGTTTTTGCTATTAAAACTTGACAACATGTCGGGGTAATGAGCAGGAATACTTTGAGCATTTATGTGAATAGCGTTAAAGTTTTTGTTAGATTCAGAAAAAGTTGAATCTAACATAATATTTAAGGGTTCAATACTTTCAAAGCTGTCAATACTGCTTAATCCATCAGAGGCAGAATCAAAGGCGAAAGAATTGGAACTCCGAACACTATCATCTGAAGAAATCATATTAAATTATATCTGATTACTAAATATATGTAAAACTAAGTAAATATGTATTATTATATGTATGTATTATAATATATATAATTATAAAATAAATAATTCAAAAATAAATAAGTCATCAGTAAACTACCTGCCAGCATTATGGAAAGAAATGTTTAATTCACTTAACAATAAGTGAAGAAACGGAACGTTAACATATCATAGACACAAAAGTGAGAGATGTTAATGTCAGATGAGTCAAAGTGTCAACTACTTATTTTTGTTTGAACTAATAAACTTTTTTATTATACAAAGTGCGAAGGAACTTTACTGTACAAGCTGTAGTATTACCTTGTAGTGTGCTAATAATATACATCATTATATTCTACGACCTATTTCATGGGTACAGTTATTGCCCTGGAGTATTTACAATAATAATTTTACTCATATAAAGTTATGCAATGGTATCCGACAAGTATGTAATGTAGACCTTAAATTTTAATTTCAGTCCGAGCTGTACAAGACAGGAGGTAGAACATTTTGCCCTAAGACAACTGCAGCCGATAAAAAGGTTGTGGCCTTATTACCTCCACAATTTAAACCATTATCTAATGATATTGACTCATCAGCACCATATTACACCATAGGTTATCAATATAAATTTACAGGAAAAAATTATTTTAAATCTAATCAAACTTACTAATAATTTCATGTGAAATAGAATAAAGATAATGAAACAAAATATAATTAAATAATCATTTATTTAATGTGGTTTAAGTACTCATGGACCAATTTCTGAATATAGATTTATCTGTACAATCATCAGCTACAGAAATAGAAATAGAAACTTATTTATTTAATACAGATTATAAATAATACATATTAAAAGTCACTTTTTTCATTTACCACTGGTTCGAAAAAAACACCTCTGTCCTGGGAAGAAATGGCATAAAACCCAGCGGGACTAATTTTTTAAAATAATAAAATTACACATAACACAATAGTGATTGATTTTTGCAATTTATTCATTACAGATATTGTTGAAACACAACAGCTAAACGATACGCAATATTCTTCTCGAGAAGTATTGGGTGCAAAAGAAGATTCTGTGCATCAACTTCAACAAGTTAAAGGTTCCAAAAGAAGGACTTCACCTCTTCTGGTATCTGACATCACACCGAAAATAAAAAATTTGTTTAACTGAAACAAAAAAGAAAAATATAAATAGCATCAGTGCTTCAATAATAAAAAGAAAAAACCAGAAGCAAATGAATGAAGATACCATAACAACGAAAAAATTAGAAATATTGGAGGTTCAACTTCAAAATGAACATATGAAATTAGAAAAAAAATTTTACTGGATCTTGATATTGAGTTAAAGCGGAATCTTTTAGAAAATTCTAAAACGGACAAAAAATTTGTTTTTATTAACATAATACATTATTGATACATGGTAGCAATGCTGCAGATATATTATAATTATAGCACGAATAGGTCAGTTCTACTGGGGAAAGATATGCCCTCACCGAATACTAGTTTGAATTAACAGCTGAATATGCTGCTGTTTCGTTTGGTGAGCATTGCGAAATTGCTCTGAAATAAAGCGGAGACCCTTTAGGCATTCCATCTTATTCCTCAACGGTGATAATGCATCTGCATTTTGATTCCTAATAGAGGATAGATGTAGATGTCTAGGGGCCCCTGCATCCACTTACCATCAGATGGACCGTATATGCTCCTTTGCTTTTTCTGTTGCTTTATTACATTCAACATTGTGTAAATTGAGCTTTAGAGATATTAACAAAAGAAAAATTTTACCAACCTAAAGTATTGTTCCACCAATAAACGACGAAAATGGTTTCCTTCACAGGGAAGAAGTTGTTCAATTGATTCTGTAATATCTTCTTCCGAAGCGGAATCAATCGCCAGAATATCATTTTACTGTAGAGCTGTTGTGTAACACAGCTGTTGCAACAATCACAGCTAACGTATGATCCAATTTTAACCTTAATTTTCCTGTATCCTGCGATATCAAAAAATTGTGCTTTTACTTCTCTTAGGTCTACAACATTTGGCATACTTATATAACTCCTTGCTAGTTTGGCTATTTCCTTACTTACTTTATATACCACTCTGGATAAAGTAGTTTTGTGAACATTAATGTCATCACCAATTACTATTTGGAAAGTACCGGTAGCATAAAATCGTAATGCTATGAAAATTTGTTCTAACACGGACAATGTATATTTCCCATTCATAATTGGTGCTAGAGCAGAGCTGATGGCATCACTTAGGTGTGTAACAGTATTCTTATCAAAGCGATATCTCAATTGAAATTCTTCATCCGTAAACATTTCGAAACTCGAACTTAAAGTATCAATAATTAAACCGTAGTTTAAGAAAGGTGAAAAAGATGATGTTAATAATTACAAACCTATTGCATTAATATCAATTTTCTCAAAAATATTCGAAAAGTGCATGTTTTTGCGCCTTTCTGAATATTGTAATAAGATTAGTGTCATCAGTCCACAACAATTTGGTTTTCAGAAAAATAAATCTACTTCTTTGGCCACGCATACATTAATTAAACCCATCTTAGAAAGTGTAAATAATTCATATCTAACCACTGTATTGTTTTTTGATCTAAGTAAGGCCTTCGATTTCGTAGACCATAAAAATCTTCTTAAAAAACTGGAAAATATGGGCATTCGAGGAATTCCTTTGCAGTGGCTCGAATCTTATTTGTCAAGCAGAAAACAAAAAGTTGAAATAAAAAATCTCAATAACCAAATTGAACTGACTTCTTATTATTCGGATTTTAGAAACAACAACTTTGGCGTCCCACAAGGAAGCATTCTTGGGCCCTTGCTTTTTATTTTATATATAAATGATATTCCAAATATGACTACATTTAAATATATTATGTTTGCAGACGATATTTCAATAACAATTGTTACTAACCCAAGGAAACATTCATTTACAAAACATGAATCTGACATAAATGACACAATCAAATCAGTAATAGAATGGTTAAATCTAAATAATTTAAAAGTTAATCTTACCAAAACTCATTATATTAAATTTGATAATTTGAAAACGAATAAGCTTGATATATATTACAACGAAACCAAAATTGAAAAAATGACGCAAACTAAATTTCTTGGCTTAGTAATTGATAGAAACCTTAATTGGGAGGCTCATATTAAGTCAGTGTGCGATAGACTAAATAAATTTGTATATGCTTTAAGGTATATTAGAAAAGTCACTAACATAAATATAGCCCTCTCGGTTTATCATGCTTATGTAGTTTCAATTCTGCGTTACATGTTAATTATCTGGGGAAATGTTTCTCAATTAAATAAAGCCTTTATCACTCAAAAAAAATGTCTACGAGCATTGACTCTTAAAGCGCCATTTGATTCATGTAAAACTTTATTCAAAAACCTTAAGTTATTGACATTGCCCTCGATCTACATATATGAAATTTGTATGTTCGTTAAACAACACAACCATCTGTTTACTAAAGCAAAAGGTATATCTTCTCGAAGCCATAGATACCCTGAAAAACTTGTAATCGACTCACTTCCTAGATTATCTAAGTACAATAAAAGCTGTCTATATATGTGTGTCAAAATATATAACAAAATTCCTCAGCATATTAAAGCACTTTCTTTACCAAGATTAAAAAAAGCCTCAATGATTTTCTTGCAGAAAGTCCCTTTCATAGCGTCAAAGAGTTTCTAGATTGTAAATTTAACGAATGAACTGCTATAATTTCACTGAGCATTGATATTTTATTCTATTTAAAAATAATTTATAATTATCCGACATCTTTCTTCTATTACGCCATTAGCTCTTGATAAAAAAAAATTGAAGATTTGGAGGCTATACGTCAAGATATTTCGTCCTTGTTACGTCGTCGTGTTGCGTAATGCGAAATTCATTCCCTTCGCTAACACCTTTATTGTTGGTTCGTCCAGTGTATGTTTTGACAGATTATAGACCGTGCGTTGTTTATTGTTTGCGTCTGTGATCAACGGTTGTGTTTTGTTCTGACGCTTAAAGCTGCCTTACATCTGGCTATCTATTGTGGAAGGAAGAGTTCTACAAGCAAGTAGATGGTGTGGCGATGGGCTCACCTGTATCTCCCATAGTCGCTGACATATTCATGGAGGACTTCGAGGAGAAAGCCCTTCTTACTGCTCCTGTAAATCCAAGATTCTACAAGCGGTACGTAGACGACACTTTCACAATTTTACCATCTGACAAAGTAACTGCATCTTTAAACCACTTTAACTCTATAAACTCTAAAATACAATTCACAATGGAGTTAGAGGCAAATAATTTTTTAGCTTTCTTAGATGTTTTAGTCATTCGAAATCCTAATAACACAATTGGTAACACTGTGTATAGAAAAAAGACCCATACCAACCGTTATTTAAATGGTGAATCTCACCATCATCCTTCACAGTTAGCTACCGTGGGTAAATCTTTGTTTCAGAGAGCACGAGGGATCTGTGACAGAAAACATCTGGCCGCCGAACTTCAGCACGTCAAGCAAGTATTGCAAGACAACAAGTTTCGGATCCCGCACCTACGTCACAGTGACCAAGTGAAGCCGGCCACAGTCGAGCGTGTACCTGCTGTACTACCATATGTCAGAGGAGTCACAGACAAGGTTGGCTACATCTTGAAGCGAGCTTCCATTAAAACATACTACAAGCCGCCGAAGAAGATTAGTAAATTTTTACCATCCGTCAAGTGTAATATCCCTCTACAAGATGCAGGAGTGTACAAGTTAGATTGTGAATGTGGTCTCTCTTACATAGGTCAAACAAAAAGATCCATAAAAACCCGCGTGAAAGAACATATAGCTGACGTGAAGCACCGACGCTCCGGGAAGTCTGCAGTCTGCGAACATGTTCAAGATCGTCCCCACCATTACATTCGTTTTGATAAACCACAAATTCTCGCAAAAGAACACCGATTCCTACCAAGGATGATACGCGAGGCTATTGAAATTAAAAAACATCCAAATTTTAATAGAGAAGATGGATGGGTGCTGCCACCTGCTTGGGATCCTATAATTAACAAAATTAAACCCAAACCTAAGCATACCACTGCAAGACTTCATGATACTATAAGTTCGTTTTGCGTAAATCGGACCAAAAATTAATATTAAAAACTGAAGGTAGCCGGACTAACTATGACATTGGGACATCAAACATCTCAGTCCCCCCCCGTGACCATGGTTGCTGTAAAGCACCCGAAACGTCGGGAATTAAAAATAAGTAAAAGTAGTGAAATAAACGCGATAAAATCCGTAAATTTAATTTTATTCAATGTGTAGTGTTCGCGTAAATTTAAGAAATCATTATATAAAAAAGCTTTTTGTTTATTTCTAGGTTATTTTAAAATTAATATTTTAATTGTTAATTTCTCGGTTCTCAGTTTAGAGGTAAAACTAATATTATGATTGTAATCTATAGATTATAAGGAATAAATTGACATGCATTTCGTTGCGGGACGCGAAAATATGTGGTGGGTCCATTCTCCATACAAAAATTGATTGTCTCCTTTAAAGACGAATTTAAAAAATCTCTAATTGAAAAATGCTACTACTCAATCGATCAATATTTAAGTGTCGCATCAGTAGGCATATTATAAATACATTGCATAAAATATAATTCATTTGACATTCGATTAGACTGTATATTATTGTAAATATCCCGTTCCTACAATTATTACTTCATCTCTATATTTGATAAATTCCTCGACAAAGTTGAATTAGATCCTGGAATTTCAGTCGTGGAAAATTATCCAGCTCTGGAAGATTACCATCAATGCTGGCAAATCGTATTTTCACTCTATTTAAATTGTGCATTTCTACATTGGAGGCAAAATTATTTGGAATATTTAGTTTAGCTTGCGCTATTGCCAATATCTCTACAGCATGAAAATTATTATGGATCAATGTATGAAATCGATTTATTAGTGCAGCTGCAATTTTTAAGTACAGCATGAGATGAGTAAATGCTGTATTAAAATATTCCTGACGAAATAACTAACTTACCTATACTTTTGTCAACTATATGTTTGCTTCTGGTACAAGTAATTACTACTTTTTCGCACATAAACGCATGTACCATCACATATTACAATGGCTGGCATAAATTCAGGATCCATGTCTGGATTACCCAATAA